TATCTAGGGTAGAAAGTAACTAAGAGTTTATTCTAGAATACAACCAAACGTAGACGACTATGGTAAACTACCAGCTTGGACGAAATGTAATAACAAAACTCCCAAATTTCGAGGTTTCACGGGAACCGTTCTCATCCTAATCATCTTTCTTTACCAAATCTTCTCCAAACGGCGCATAATATAAATTCACCATCACACCTGCTGCACCCGCACTGAGAGCCTTTCCACCTCCGCATACCCATCATCCCTCCGCTCCCAGCTCCACCGCCCGCGGGACCAAGTTCCCGCGGCGTCAGAGATGGGCGCCCCAAACATCTTGTCAAAAACACCTCTGCAGAGACTCAGAGCTCTGGTTTCCTACCGAGACGGCCCGCGAACTCAACTACCTAAAGCGAGCAAAAATTTCCCTCTGAGGGAATCGCCCAGCGCCCTTTCATTCCCGCGGGGGCGGAAGCGGAAGTGCTCGTGGGTCATAGAGTTTTCTAGTTCCGGTTTCGGGGCCGCGCTAGAGCGCCTCTCCGTCGCCGCAGTTGCCCACCGCCGGGGGCTTCTATTTCCGGGTGCGGCTCCTGTCCTAAAGCGGAGACCTCCCGTCAAATGTGGCGTCGTGGGTCCTTCGCGCCTCGCCTGGGGTCCGCGCGCAAGGACGGGCGCGGGCGGGGTGCTCACCAGCCGGCGGCTGGAGCCGGGCCTCGGGTGCCGGCCCGCACGAGCACCTCTGATTTCTCAGGACAGGCCGGCTTTTGAGCCCTCGCGATTGGAAGCCCCCGATCCGCAGCTTCCACGACTGCAGCTCGAGAGGACCGACCTCCTGGCCCCTGCTTCTCCCCCATGGTCACGCTCTGCCCTGTGAGGTGCAGCGTTTGCAAGTAACCCCTTCCCCACACGGCACTTCCATCCACGTCCTGCCTTAAATTCCTTCTTCCTTGAGACCCGTTCCCTCTGCCTCCAGAAGTGGTCTTTTCTCCCCCAGTTCCTGTAAAAATTGAGAATTAGGAGTTTCGGATATCCTGCAGAAAGATTACTTTTAAGACTGAGCACCCACTGGATACCCCAAACAAGTTCATGCTGAGTAGAGGCAAAGTGAAACCCAGTGCACGCAGGAAACTATGGCCGAGCACGGGGCTCACATCACAGCTGCTTCTGGGGTGGATGACCAGCCATCCATCTTTGAGGTGGTAGCACAGGACAGTTTAATGACAGCAGTGAGACCTGCTCTTCAGCATGTGGTCAAGGTAAGGTATTCATTCTTTAAATGGTTTTAGGGACGACTGGGTAAACACCAAACCAATAATTTGAGTTTATCTTGGAGCCTAGGTTTGAAATTACCAATTAGCACATAATCCATATCCTATTATTCATATAGGTTATTGAACCCCTGTTATATGTAGAGCCCTATAATGAATGCCCAGCACTGCAGGAAGGATAGGGTAAGCCCCAAAAGTAGTGATCTGTTTAATCTCAAAGTGTAGAATTTAGAAGGTGTGGGGATGAGGGGAATGCAAATATAAGGCATAGTAGCTGTGCAATGGAATGCATTTCATTTATTAATATCTACTTCGCTTTAGGTTCTTGCAGAATCAAACCCTGCCCACTATGGCTTCTTTTGGAGGTGGTTTGATGAAATCTTTACCCTGCTGGATCTTCTGCTCCAGCAGCATTATCTGTCTAAAACCAGTGCCTCATTTTCTGAAAACTTTTACGGCTTAAAGCGGATTGTCACGGGGGACACACACAAGCTTCAGAGACTGGCCAGTGCTGGTCTCCCAAAGAAGCAGCTCTGGAAGTCCATTATGTTCCTGGTTCTTCTTCCCTATCTGAAAGTGAAGCTGGAGAAGCTGGTTTCTAGCCTGAGAGAAGAGGATGAATATTCTATCCATCCCCCTTCTTCCCGCTGGAAACAGTTTTACAGAGCCTTCCTGGCAGCCTACCCATTTGTTAACATGGCCTGGGAAGGCTGGTTTCTTGTACAACAACTTCGATACATCCTAGGAAAAGCTCAGCATCACTCACCACTACTTAGTCTGGCTGGAGTTCGGCTGGGTCGACTTACAGTTCAGGATATACAAGCCTTGGAGCACAAAGCAGCTGAAGCCAGTATGATGCAGCAACCAGCCAGGAGGTAAGGCCTTAACATTTCCCCCAAATCTTTGATGAACAGTTTCTAAAATCTTACTTTAATTTTATGAAATCACCTCCTTCAGTCCACATTGAGGTTTTTTTATAAAATCATAGAAAAATTCTGTGTTCATAAAACAAGGATTGCCATCCTGGTAAGCAACCTCATCAAAACTACACTTGCTATGGCCAGACCTTGAGCCAGGTGTTTGTTTTCTATACATTATCCCAATCCCCATCACAACTCATGCATTAGCCCCATTTCACAGCTGAGGAAACTAAGCCCTATCAGCTAAGTACCTTGTCAAGGCCACACAGCGAGAAGGTGGCAGAGCTGAGATTCAAGGCAGATCAACACAATTCTCGACTGCTCTTAACCACGATGCTATACTGCGTGTAGTTAGTGTTCATGTTCTCCTACAAGTTTTATTTTTTCTCCTACAAGTTTAAATATATATTCCTCAATGCTGCTAAGTTAATTTTTTTAAGTGAGTTGTTTCTTTTTCTGGATATACTAACTTCCACACATACACAAAAAGGTCTATATAATCAATGTCTCACTAATTTCTTCTCAACACACAACAAAACCCTCGTCTTTAAAAACAAAGCTTTGCTCCTAGGCTCCTAAAATACTGTTAGTCAGAAAGAGGGAATCATTTAGAATACAACCTTAAGGAGACAATGCCAGTCTGGCAACTGTTCATTCCCCAAACTGAATTGGTGATTCTGATGAAAAGTGTGAGAACTACATTTCTATTAGTCACTCTGCAATTGTACCTAAATAAACAGTTTCTCCTTTTGCCTTCTTGTTCTATTTTCCAACAGTATTAGTGAGAAGATCAAGTCAACTCTGAAAAAAGCTGTGGGGGGTGTTGCCTTATCCCTCTCTACTGGCCTGTCTGTCGGTGTATTCTTCCTGCAATTCCTTGAGTGGTGGTACTCATCTGAAAATCAAGAAACCATCAAATCACTGACTGCCCTGCCTACTCCACCACCACCTGTACACCTAGACTACAATTCTGATTCTCCCCTGTTACCCAAAATGAAGACTGTGTGCCCACTGTGTCGTAAAACCCGGGTGAATGATACTGTTCTTGCCACCTCTGGCTATGTGTTTTGCTATCGCTGTGTGTTCAGTTATGTGAGGACTCACCAGGCTTGTCCCATCACAGGTTATCCAACAGAAGTACAACATCTAATTAAACTGTACTCCCCTGACAACTGAAAGGGATTAGCATCTTACCTCGCAGGAAAATCATTGCCCAGAAGGCCACAGGGCTGGTTTTCAGCATGGTACACGGTGTTATTTGGTACTTCTTTGCCTCAATTCATAATTATATGAATTTTTAAAAATTAATATGGATTTCTTTAAAAGGATATACCCATGGATTTAACCTTCTAACCTGCTCTCGAGGCCCCAATTTAAAGTTAACCAAGCTGATTAGAGTAAGAGAATTGAGGGTCCGTATAGAAGTGGATAAAAGAGGATAATCAGTACAGAAGCTTTTCCTTAAAGAACAAAGAGGTATAGAAACTCTCAGGAAAAACCCATGTTAGACCTCATAAAGTGGGTGGTGAAGGGGAAGCAGACCTTGTATTTAAAAAAGTTTTCATTTGCCTATGAGGAAGAGGTTTTATCAGGTTACAATGTGAAAAGTGGGCTTACTCTTTTGAAAAACAATACCTCCTATATACTGTGACCCATTTGTTATGTAATGTCTGCTGTAATTTATCAACTTTTAAAGATTTCTTTATGAGTCTTTCTTGGGAAACTGGTTAAAGGAAAATTAAGGTGAAGTGTATATATAGATTTTGGTGAGAAAGCAAAACTAATAAGCAATGAAGAGATGAAGTAAGGCCTAGGTGGTATGGCTCAGTGGTTGAGCATCAGCACAAGCACCAAGAGGTCACCGGTTCAATTCCCAGTCAGGGCACATGCCTGGGTTGTAGGCTCAAGTCCCCATTGAGGGGCATGCAGCAGGCAGCCTATCTCTCCCTCTGCCTTCCTCTCTCTCTAAAATCAATAAATATTAAAAAAAGATGAAGTAAAATACTCATCTATGTGTAAAGAAAGGCTCCTTTAATAAGCCCTTTCTCCTTGCTATTAAGAGTTTGCTAAACTGGCATGAATAATTCTGGCTATTACTAAAGTTTCTATGAAACGCTTAAATACATTTCAAGAATAAATGTTTTTTGGCAAAGAACTGTTCCATGTTGTCATGATTGTACAGAAACTGAAAGATTACTTGAGGTGTTTTTTTGTTTTTTTTTCATTCAGACAACCTTTGACTTTTGGGGGTATTTTTGTATTAACATTTTGTGGGGTTTTTTGCTAATCCAGTAATTGGGGGGAAAGTCCTCTACTCCAACAGCAAGAATTCAGCATTCAGCCTTGTTCGAAATGTCTTGTATTAGAAAGACTACAAAAACACTTTAAGTTGCCTATGTAGAAAAATTCAAACCTGGATTGACAAATTGATGAAAAAATATGGATTAAAAAATCATAACTAGATGAGGAAGGATGAAAGTAATTTGTAGGTGCCTCTGCTGAGATAGGCGTTTCCCAGTATTTTAACTCATTTTAGCAATTCAAAGGACAAACAATCTCTAATAGCACTAAGGTGATAAAACTAAATTCTGAAATGGAACATCCTATGGATTTTAAAATATTAACACTTTTATGTATCACTAGAGGCCCAATGCATGAAATTTGTGCAAGGGGCTCGGCCCTTGCAGCCGCGATGGCTTGCTCGGCTTCGGAAGGTCGTCTGAAAGGCCATCAGGTCTAATTAGCATATTACGCTTTTATTTTTATAAATAAAAAGAGTATATGGGATAGTTGCAAGAATTCTTGTTAAATAGCAAGGTTTTACCAAAGCAAATAGCAATTTAAAAAACATTTTTAATATAATAAGTCAATAAGAGAACTGAACCAGATTCAGGATTGAAATAACGTAGTACTCCATGAAGGTATCAAAGCCAGATTTTTCACCTCAACCTAAGAAGGAAAACAAAGTATCAGTAAAATTCAAACAGATACCAAAGAAACACTCATATACATAATAAAACCAGTATCCAAATAGGCTAGAACATACCAATGTGGGAAAACCATAAACAGACTCAGCTCAGAGAGAAGATTAAGTGATCACACCCTGGTCAGAGCCAACACTGAAGCAATGGCAATACCAGGTCAGACTATACTTCACTCATCATCGCATCATTGCATTTCACCGCCTTGTTTTATCTAAGAGTATTTTCACTTCTAAAAAAACTTAGGTTTACCCATGAAAAAAATAAAGCCTTCTTTTTAGATAAGTTTAAATTGCAACCATTTTATGCTTTGGTTTAAGTAACTCTACTGTACAAAAATGCAAAGTTGAACAACTTTTGTTTGGGGAAGCTTTTTTGTTTTTGAAATACAGGTGAGTGGATAAGCACTTATATTTAAAAAAAAAAACTTTTTTTTTTTTTTTAATGAGCTCAAACACACTGCAAGATAAAATTTCAGATGCCTGCAAAGGGATTTAGAGATAAGTTCTTAAGCAAAAGCTTTACAAAAGATTTTTATACTAAATTCTCTTATAAATTAAACTCCAGTTCATTTAAAATATATTTTGATTTACAATCATGCTGCACATAAAGATAAAAACTAGTCATAAATTTGTTATACCAGGATCTTCTATCTTAAGAGTCCAAGACCTAGAGAGGCTATGATTTGCCTAAGGTCCATAGCAAATTAACATCAGCTGGAAAGAGAACTGATGTCTGATTACCAGATTTTTATTTTTCGACTATCAGCTAAATATAAGGTTTAATTTCATTTTCCTCCAGGACATGAGCAAGATAAAGGAAAAAAGGGAAAGCCTGGATAATTCACGACCTGAACAATTAATTTCTGAATGAAAAGGCTGATTGCATTTCATTTATTCTAAATGGCACCTGGTGATACACAATCATTGACGTGGAAAAGTACTAGGATCACATGCCACCCTTTCCAGCCTTTCAGCATGGTATTGACAGTATCTAACAATTCTGGAGACACCACATGCTTCAGCCATCTATAAGTATCAATAGGTTGATTTTCCATAAAACTGACAATCGGTCTGTTTGCCATTTAGCAACTAAACTCCATAAAGAGGGAAACTAAAAGTGTCTGTTTTACTAGGGTTATGCTTGAGCCTTTATCTCATCATCCTCTACACAAATATACTTTCCTAATTTTCCTCCTTAGTACACTGCGCCAACTGGAATGCTTCCCCGCCCCTTTCCATGTGGAGAGCGCCTAATTACAGTCTTAAAACCTTAATTGTCACCTTCTCTCTCTCTCTCTCTCTCTCTCTCTCTCTCTCTCTCTCTCTGTCTCTCTGTTAAGTGGTCCCTAACTCCTCAGTCATCCCCTCCTCTGAGTCTTTACCCCCACAACACGCATCAAACGCCATTTATTCACGATCCCCACCTCCCCCATCACAGGGTTCCTAAAGAACCAGGACTGAGTCTTACTGGCCTTTGCATCCACTGCACTCAGAATGGTGCATAGGAGGAGGCTCAATAAATGAGCGTTTAACTCAGTCAATGCACGACCCTCCCTACTAAATCCTAAACTGCTAGATTAGAAAGGCATCAGCCGACTTACCTCCGACGCGTCACGTAGGTAAGGACCACATCGCAAGCATCTCTAAACCCTCCCTCCGCCCTCCCCCCGCCCCGCCCCCACCTCCTGGCGCTCTGCACGGCGCCCTGCGCAGACAACCAAGGCTTACACGCAGGGGACCGTCAAAAATAAATCACATGGTCCAAACCCCACCAACTCCAAGGAAGACAGAAAAGCCGTCCTTGCGGGGAAAGGCGGGTAAGGCCGGAGCCAGGGCTCACACCAGACCCAGGCAGGAGTCCTAAGCCCCATTTGGAAAATCCCAGAACTCCTACGCCCTAGACTCCCAGGAGGCTGGCCCAGCCGGCGAAGGCTCACGGAGCCGACTGCTGGCCTCCTAGCCCTCCCTCCAAGACAACAGCTCCGGCTTCCCACCAACCTCCGCCTCCAGGCCCCAGCGGCATCCCACCACCCACTGCGGCCTCTGCCAGACAACCAATCCCGCGGCGGCCAGAGGGTCACGTGCAAGGAGCAACCAATCGGAGGGCGAGGCGAGCGTCAGGGGTGGAGCGAGCCGGAGGGCGGAAACCCCTTTTCCGTCCCTCGGTTTCCAGGCGGCTCCATCTTCAGAATTGGGGCAGGCGCTTTACACCGGACTCAGAGCAGTTCTCGCCCGCCCTCGGACCTCAGGACGACGGTTATCCCGGGTGGTTTCATCGGAGGCAGTTGTGCCCTGGGTTTCCGTTTCCGGGAAGAACTATTGATGGAGCGATCCAACGTTGTTTATTGCACTTGTCCGCCTGGCCGCGTGAGGGCTAGGGGTTGGGGTGGACTTAGATGAATGTGTCCCTCTCTGTCCAGAGGGACCTTCCTGGCTGGTCGGGCTCTTGGATGCTTCCTAAGTAAACAAGAGGTGCCGCAAGAAAAGTGCAGCTAAATATCAAAGAAGTGTGAAGGAGAGCAGGAAAGACTTCCCGGAAGAGATGGCATTAAACCTGCGTCTTGAAAGATGGGGCGGGGGGGGGGGGAGGGAGGGTGGAGGTGGGGGGTTGAGAATTAGGAGATTCTGGAAGAAGGAATAATTACCGAATTAAATGAGAATGTATGGGGGGAGCTGACCAAATTTGAAGTTGAAACGTGTAGTGTTTCTCAAAAATTGGTGAGTTAGCAACATCAGGAGGAAACAACTATATAAATGTCCTCCATCAAAAACATATCACACAAAAAATAAAAACGCCTGGGGTAAACCCAGACTTAATCAGATTTCTGGGGTGGAGCCCAAGCATGCATATTTTTAATAAGCGTCCCATGGGTGATCCTGAGTCACACCAAAGTTTGAAAACCAATGATAGTGTTAAAGAAGGAGGATGGTAGGAAAGTTGAAAAACGGGTTAAGACTTTGTTAGGGATGGTGTTTGCTGGCTGCGTAGATTAGACTACTCTGGAGAATGATTTAAAGATTGAGGTCCCAAGAAGACAGGTGCTCAGAGCTGTACTTTAGAAAATTCAGCATGCGACTGTGTTTTTCAATTAGTTGAAGGAAGCTATTGAAAGGGATTTCAATGGTTCAGGTGAGAACTAATAAGAGCCTAAATTAGGGCTGTGGTACTGGAAATGGAGAGGTAGCATGTGATAAGCAGCATGAGGATTGTGATGAGTGTTGGACAGGGGTGGGTAGAAGGACATGAAAAAATAAAAAGGAAGAATGTAGAAAAACGAAGGGTCTTCTGTACCAAGGAACTCCATTGTACTTTAAACATAGGAGGTTAGACAGTGAAGAAACTGTGCCTTGCCCTGGCCGGGTGGCTCAACTAATTGAAGCATGATTCCATACACCAAAAGGCGGTAGGTTTGATTCCCAGTTGGGGCACGTATCTAGGTTGTGGGTTCGATCCCTGACCACCTATGGAAGGCAATTGAGCAATATCTCTCTTTCTCTTCCTCTCTCCTTCCCCTCTCTTTCTCTCTCTCTCTCTCTCTCTCTCTCTCTCAAAGCGATTAAAAAAATGCTTAGAACCCAACATCTAGAAATCTTGTTTAAAAAAAGAGAGAAACTGTGCCTTTGCATGTGCTGTTTTCTCTGCATCTCCATCTCCCTCAGCCTGGTGCATTCTCTTTTTTTAAATATTTTTATTGATTTCAGAGAGGAAGAGAGGGATAGAGAGATAGAAACATCAATGATGAGAGAGAATCACTGATCAGCTGCCTCCTGCATGCCCCCTACTGGGGATCAAGCCTGCAACCCAGGCATGTGCCCTTGGCCAGAATCGAACCCGGGACCCTTCAGTCTGTAGGCCGACACTCTATCCACTGAGCCAAACCAGCTAGGGCTTGGTGCATTCTTATCTGCAGGTTCCAGTTCATATACCATCTCATTTATGAAGTCTTATTCTCACAAGCATAGTTATTGTCACTCCTCAGAACACCCAAAGAAAACACTCTTACATTTCTAGCTCTCCAGAGTGGCACTATTGTGTTGTGGTCATGCATAGAGACTATATTTGTAAGCATCATACTCAGTGCCAGACCTACGATTTCAAAACCCTAGGTACTTAAATGAAGGATGAGTGAAAGTTAAGAGACCCAGAGTGGCTTGGTGGAACTGGCGTTTTTGTTCTGGGTCCCTGTTCTTTGAATTATCTCTGTGAATGAATTTAGGAGGGAGGTTGGTATTTGTATTAGTTAGGGCTGTGCCATAACTATGCTGATAAATTGAAATTTGTAGTGAATAAATATATCTGAAATAAATTGGGACTCTACGGTAGTTCTTAGCCAATTGTGAACAGAATGGCCAGCTCACTTTCCCAGGACCTAGGAAAAGCACTGCAAGCTGATGATTTCAGATTATTTTGTAGCATGGACATTTGATGTGAGACGCTCCCTGGAGTGATAACTGTAACGGTTTATAGCCAGGGGACCTGACTAAGGAACTCTGAAGAAGGAAGAGAAACTCTCTTTGCTCATCTTTCACATGTTTCCCTCCTTCTTCTGATTTGGTCCCTTATAGTGCATTGAAGAAGAATAAGGAAACCACGATCTGGCTCCTGGTTCTCCTGTCCAAATAATGTTCTTCCTGTGGACCGGGAAGAAAAGGGGGAGATACTGAGGCAGAGTTCCGATTTTGAAGACTCCAAAACTTGAAGGCAGAATCCCAAAGGTGAAAGGCAGTGGAAGGAGCAGGAACATTTGTATTAGATAAACCTGGCTTTGAACTCCATCTCTTCCATGTAATCTCAATTTCTTCTTAAAAGCTCCTACCTTGTACCAAAATGCACATGTCCAGTAAAGAATGGTCATTTTTATCTTTCTAAAAGGAAAGGGAGATTGCAATGTGAGTGTGAGGCTGGGAATTAAGGTTGGTGGTAGAACTAAAAGACTGAATTTAGAAGTGAAGTTAATGAAAATCAGTTAAAGTTGAGGCTGAGGGCAGGCTTTTAGAGTTTATGGTGCTACTGTGCTGATTATAGCATCCATTCTGCCTCCTATCCTGAAACTATATTCAGCCAACATATATAAAGGGTAATGCCAGCAAAGCAGAACTTCATAGAAATGTAACCTCAGTTAAAAATAAAAAATAAAAAACAAGACAACCTAGGGATTTAAGAATGTCATTTCATCATAAACAAATTGAAGTAGAAGCACAGAATTGTTTGATGCTTCAATTTAGAAGGAGATGCATATATTATTTTTGTGTAGCCGCTATAACAAATTACCACAAACTTGGTTGCTTAAAAAGCAGAAATTTATTTTCTCACAGCTATGAGTCTGACACCAGTTGATTGGTCAGAAATCAAGATGTTGGCAGGGCTGTGCTCCCTAGGACAGAGATGGGGAGCTGTAGGGAATCATTCATTTCTGCCTCTTCCAGTTTTCAGTGGCTGCCCCATTTCTTGCGGCCACAGCAATCTCTGTCTCTAGGTCAGACACTGCCTCCTCCCCTTTTGTGTGTATCAAATCTCTCTCTGCCTCACTTACAAGAACAATTGTAATTGGGTTTAGGGCCCACCCAGATAATCCAGGATAATCTCCCATCCCAGAATTCTTTTTTAATCACATCTACAAAGACCATTGTTTCTCATAAAGTAACATTTGCAGGTTTATAATAACAACAATGATAACAAGAATTGGTGGCTATTATACAGCCTAGTTCAAGAAGCTCTATCCGGTTTAACCAGCACCTCCAAGTGCGATAGCTGTCATCTTTTTTTTTAACTATAAAACAACTCATTCACCCTAGCTGGTTTGGCTCAGTGGATAGAGTGTTGGCCTGCGGAATGAAGAGTCCCAGGTTCAATTCTGGTCAAGGGCAGATGCCGAGGTTGCAGGCTTGATCCCCAGTGGGGGGCGTGCAGGGAGGCAACCAGTCAATGATTCTCTTTCATCATTGATGTTTCTATCTCTCCCTCTCCCTTCCTCTCTGAAATAAAAAAATATATTTTAAAAAAATAATCCTGTATAATAAAAGCCCAGCAACCCGAACAGCGGAATGACCAGAACGACCGGTCGACCAGTCACTATGACATGCACTGACCACCAAGGACAGACATTCAATGCAGGAGGCTGATGAGCATTTGGTAGGCAGGCGAGTGCTTAGGGGTGATCAGGCGGGCAGGAGGCGAGCAGTTAGGGGCGATCAGGCCGGCAGGTGAGTGGTTAGGGGCGATTAGGCAGGCAGGCAAGTGGTACAGGGTGATCAGGCAGGCAAGCAGGCAGGCCAGTGGTTAGGAGTTAGCAGTCCTGGATTGTGAGAGGGATGTCCGAATTGTGAGAGGGTGCAGGCTGGGCTGAGGGACCCCCCCACCTCATGCACAAATTTCATGCACCAGGCCTCTAGTTTTAAAATAAAAATGAATATAGAGCTTTGAAATGAAATTGACCAGGACAGGAAGTGCTTATATGACGGATGGAAATGACACCCAGTCCCTTAGAGGTGGGCAGTTTAGCTTTGGCTCTCACTTGAAAACCCCTGAATCTTCCCATTACTACCTAATTCACTCTCAGAAGTCAAAACTGCAGCATGCTAATCTGCCCTGTCATAGGCTTTTCTTGAGTCCTTATCAGCCTTCCTCAGTGGGTAATGTTATGAAGACTGGGAGAGTCTGGCAGGGTTCCTGCTCCTCCCAGGCTGATATCAAAGAGCCACAGGACTGTGACAAAAAGCAAACATTCAGAGGAAAGCCAGATGTGGAACTGAAACAACAAGAGAAGAAGCAAGAGTATCAGGTAAAAAAATTTTTTTTATTTTTCATTTAAAAAACCTCATCCATCTCATCCTAAGTGCAGTTTATGTCTGAGGGTATGAAGGGCTTAGTAAAATAATAGCTACAGGATGATGAGTGAGAAATTTTGGGAAAAGCGGAAAGGCTATTCATATGGAGCTTGAATCTCAGAAAGCAATGTATTTATCAGTTGTTAACAGCATTAGTAACATCGGTGAGACTTGAGAGTCATGATAGTACAGGTCTGCTAGTTCAAAAGCAATTAGATTTGTCCTGTGAATCCAGCAGGTGGAAATTATAGGGAGACAAACTACAGTTGAAAACGAGGGAAACCCTTTCTAACAGAGCTGTCAGAAAATAGAAGGGACTAATTTGGTGGGTAATAAGTTACTCATCACTGGAGGTGTTCAAGCAGTTGCTGGAAAGAAATTTGTTGGGAGTTGGGAATATTATACAGAGGATTTAAGAATCAGATGAATGGTTGGACCTGAAGATCTTTAAAGTCCTTTCCAACACTTCTGTGACTCTATGACATGAATAGAATGTTAATCAGAAGTTTCTCTGTAGAGCCAGGCATTTACATTTACCTGCTCACATATGAAAAAAAAAATCACCATGTTGATTCTGGTATGCCTGGCAGAAGTGAGAAGGCAACCATAGCAAACTATGGCAGAAGAGGATATATGTCCTGCTGAATGCCTGCTTCTTTCTCTCTTTATGAGCATAAACAACACCCACATGGCCTCTACTTTGCAAAGATTACATAGAAAAAATGGGTTCTCTTCTTCTACAGGAAGAATTTGGGTTTGGGTTAGTAAACATCTTATTTTGCAGTTAACAAAAACTAAGGGAGCCATGTCTGAAATATTTTCTTCAGAGCTCTGATTTCTATTTAGATGGCTATTCTCTGATCTGAGAAGCAAAAGAAGGTTGGTCATAGTTTAACAACTATGTCCCAAAGGCTCATGTTTTTTCCAAGTCTTAAAGGTCCCCACAGAACAGGGCAGAACTATTAGGAGGGCAGGAAAATGCCTGTATCACACTATATATGAAGAAATGCACTTTTAGAAGAATGTTTGAAAAGATAAAAAGAGCCCAGACTGTGTAGCTCAGTGGTTGAGCATGGAGCTCTGAACAAGAGATCATGGTTTGATTCCCGTGCAGGGCACATGCCCAGGTCAGGGCACATGCCCATGTTGTGGGGTGTGCAGGAGGCAGCCAATCAATGATTCTCTCTCATCATTGATGTTTCTAACTCTCTCTTCCTCTCCCTTCTTCTCTGAAATCAATAAAAATTTTTTTTTTTTTTTTTAAAAAGAGAGGACTTGCCGAAACCGGTTTGGCTCAGTGGATAGAGCGTCGGCCTGCGGACTGAAAGGTCCCAGGTTCGATTCCGGTCAAGGGCATGTACCTGGGTTGCGGGCACATCCCCAGTAGGAGATGTGCAGGAGGCAGCTGATCGATGTTTCTCTTTCATCGAAGTTTCTAACTCTCTATCCCTCTCCCTTCCTCTCTGTAAAAAATCAATAAAATATATTTAAAAAAAAAAAAGAGGACTTAACAAAAAAGATGAAAAGAATTATGCATTTGGTCTCAATTGAAAGTCTTTCAAGGATAGAATAAAGCTTTAAAAATGTACAAAATAGCACGTAAAGAATACCAAGTTTTATGCTTGTTTATATAGCAAGATATCTACACCACATAGATTATTAAACTACACTACCTTAGTTCTCTATCGCCCCCTTTCTTTTGCTTTGAATTAATAGGAGCATCTTCTGATTTCAACTTCTAAGTCTGCGTATTCTCTAATAACTTACTTTGGTTCCTGTGCTAATCCATGCCTTTTTTTTTTTAACCCATGACTTTTATAATACCTGGGCTCACTGATGGCACTTCCTGATTTTAAATTTAAAAATGGCTAAAAATTTTAGCACTGTAAGTTTTCCATTATAGCAAAATATTAAGCATTTACCTTTAACTATGCCCATTCATGCTGGGAAGGCTAACAATCTTGATGAAGTTGTTAGAAAACAGTGATATCAAATATTATTTCCACCTGGCCATTGTTTCCCAGTGGTTGAGCCATCAACCTATAAACCAAGAGGTCACAGTTCGATTCCCGATCGGGGCACATGCCCAGGTTGCAGACTTGATCCCCAGTAGGGACCATGCAGGAAGCAGCTGATCAATAATTCTCTCTCATCATTGATGTTTCTATCTCCCTCTCTCTTCCTCTCTAAAACCAATAAAAATATGTTCAAAACTATTATTTCTGTGTTAAAATGTATGTCCAGTAATTTATATTGTAATCTCTGGAATTCTTGTTAATGTAGAAACAACATCCTGTCCTGCTTATTTATTGGGACCCCTTTCTGTTACTGTTTTGAGCACACAGGGGCTGCTGAGATGGAATGTCTCCAGACCAATACAGAAATGCTCTATCCTGAGATAATTGTAGACGTGGGCACAGTGACTTTTGGAGAAGAGAACCGGAAGAAGATGACCAATAACCAGTTGAAAAGAAATGAGAATTCTAAAATCATCCAAGCCGCCTGTGCACTGTTAAATTCTGGAGGGGGTGTGATCAAAGCAAAGATTGATGATAAAACCTACAGCTACCGCTGCCACGGGCTGGGACAGGATCTGGAGACTTCTTTTCAGAAGCTCCTTCCTTCAGGCTCACAGAAATACCTTGACTACATGCAACAGGGGCACAATCTCTTGATTTTTGTCAAGTCATGGAGCCCAGATGTTTTCAGCCTCCCCCTAAGGATCTGTAGCTTGCGTTCCAATTTATATCAGAGAGATGTGACTTCCGCTATAAACCTGAGTGCTAGCAGTGCCCTAGAACTTCTCAGACAGAAGCAATCTAGAGCCCAAAGAGGAAGACCCAGGGTGAAGGAGCTGCATCCTCAGAAAGTTCTTGACAGACACATTCAGGAAGAGGAAGATATGAGGCTGTCTGCCTCAGAATTTCTTAAAAAGGACAAACTCATGTATAAAGAGAAACTCAACTTTACTGAATCAACACATGTTGAGTTAAAAAGGTTCACCACCAAAAAGATTGTCCCTAGGACTAAAGAAATGTTGCCTCATTACATTTCTGCATTTGCCAACACCCATGGGGGATACCTAATTATCGGGGTAGATGATAAGAGCAAAGAAGTGTTTGGATGTAAGAAAGAAAAAGTGAACCCTGACTTATTAAAAAAAGAAATAGAAAATTGCATAGAAAAACTGCCTACATTCCACTTCTGCCATGAAAAGCCAAAGGTGAATTTCACTACCAAAATCTTGGATGTCTACCAAAAGGATGCCCTGTATGGTTATGTCTGTGTTGTTCAAGTGCAGCCCTTCTGCTGTGTGGTATTCACAGAGGCTCCAGATTCGTGGATCATGAGGGACAATTTGGTCGCAAGGCTGACGGCAGAGGACTGGGTGACTATGATGCTGGATATTCCACCAGGTAAAGCAGAATAGAAGCCATTATTCAGTCAGCAGGGAGTAACCACCTTCTCTGCCTTCTGTGGGTAGTTGGTCAGATTTTTTAAAAATATATTTTTATTGATTTTAGAGAGGAAGGGAAAGGGAAAGAGAAATAGAAACATCAATTATGAGAGAGAATAATTGATCAGCTGCCTCCTGTACACCCCACTCTGGGGATCTAGTCCATAACCGGGGCATGTGCCCTGACCGGGAATTGAACCATGACCTCATGGCTCAACCACTGAGCCACGCTGGCTGGGCTGGCCAGATATTTTACTTGAAGAACAGAAAGCAGTTTTGCTTAAAAAATATTCTCCCATTTCCCTGGCTAGTGTTTCTCAGTGGTTAGAATGCCGGCCCATGCACCGAAGGATTTGGTTGGATTCCCAGTCAGGGCACATGCCCAGGTTGCGGGCTTGAACCCCAGTGGGAGGCATGCAGGAGGCAGCCAATCAATGATTCTCTCTCATCATTAATGTTTCTATACCTTGCTCTCTCTCCCTTCCTCCCTAAAATAAATAAAAAATATATATATATTTAAAAACATTCATCAGTAATCTCACTCTAAAGATGATATTTCAAAGGCAAATTGTTTAAGAAGGACTCTTCACTAATTCTTTCAAGGGAAGTTTGTTGACAATTCTGAATTGTTTCAGTAACATTAGGAACTAATACCTCCAATCATTGGGCTTGGGGCACCATCAAGTGGGGAAAAGCTGATGCAAAAGGAGATGCTGGGGCAGGGGATGGGGAGGTAGGGGGAGACTCCTAGTGTTTTCACTTCCCTTGTAGTTTTGCTCATTTCTAAGCAATCCATGGAGGACTTACAGCCTGAACACAGGTTATCAATTTGGCTTCATGGTTAATATGTTCCAAATTTGATAAAAGAAGCTTAGATCAAGCCTTAAGTGATTATTCTTTCTCTTGTCCTAAATTTGTTTAAGTTTAAACACACACACACACACACACACACACACACACACAACACACACACACTCACACACACCAAACTAGAGATCCTGCCACTTCCTATTCCATCCAAACCTTGGATGGGGACTTAAGCAACTATAACAATATAAAAAATATATAGTGTGCTTAACTTTTTCTGACCTTACTCCCTCTAGAAGCCTTTTCCTCTCAGAAATGACCTGGAATCAGAATGTAGCGTTGGAATGAATCTTAGGGATCACCTCACCCTGACATGAGGGAGATCAAATGACTTGCCCTGCAGGAGACCCCAGACTTCCTTTCTTACCTATGTGAACGGTTTGAGGCATAGTAAGTGTGAGAGCAGCTCAGCACCATGCAAGTCGCATATCAACAGCAGGAGGACAGTTAAAAAGTGCTTTTCCTTTTTCATCTGAAACAACTCTCCATGTATTCATTTGTTTAGCTACCTCCAGTTTGGCTACAGACTACAGCCTTCACCCGATTTCACCAGCTTCATCTGCACTAAGAAGCTCATCATATCCTATGAAAGTCCTGGAATTTAAGGAAGTTCTACAACAACGTTTGCTTCCAGGTATTTCCTTCTTATTTCTTTTCTAAAATTATGTTGGAAGGAATTGATAGCAATTAATCCAAATTTTTCTCCTTAGAGAGAAGGTCAAGTGTAGGACTTAGCAGACATAATGGTCCCGAAATAATATGTATGGCTAACTCTTGTTTCCCAGTCATCAAATTCACACATATTTCTCTGTGCTTTGGGGCTTCCAGTCATGTATAGCTTTTGTTTCCTAAATTTGAGAGAATTTGGGAATCATCCTAAATCCCTCATGTCTATATCACAAGAGAATTCCCCCCTGGCTTTCCAATACAGAAGGAGGTGAGCCATGGGGTTCTATGGCAGAGTTTCTCTGCCTTGGCACTGTTGACATGTGAGTCAGCTAATTGTTTGTTGAAGGGGCTGCCCTGTGCACTGTAGAATGGTTAGCACCATTCATGGCCTCTACCCTCTAAATTCCAATAGCAGCCCTCCAGCTGTGACAATCAAAAAATTTCCAGCCCTGGCCAGTGTGGTTCATTTGGTTGGGCGTCAACCCGTGTACTGAGAGAGAGGTTGCTGGTTCCATTCCCAGTGGGGGCACATGCCCTAGGTTGTGGGCTGGATCCCGGGGGGGAAGGGGGTGTGCAGGAGGCAGTTTATCTATGGATGTTTCTTTCTCTCTAAATTCAATAAACGATGCTTTTTAAAAATGTCCAGATATTACTAAATACCCCAGGGTGTGTGTGTGTCAAAATTGCCACATTAGAATCATTGTTTTAAAGTTTTAAAGGAATGTTCTTAGTTCTCCCAAAAGCATCAGGTCCACACACACACACACACACACACACACCCTCAACAGGAAGGAGGACCATCTGGGGCTGAGGAGACAGTGCCAGGAGGCTGTTCTGTGAAGACCCCTCCTTGACTGCCCTCGCCTGTATGAGAGTTGCCAACAGCAGGAACTTCTTAGCCTTGGCCTGTGAAAAAGGGGTGCTTTCTTTGCAGACAGGGAAACCTATAGTTCCAGAGCTAGACTCATTTCTTCCTATGATGTTGCAGGAATACTTACAAATGCTTTTGTACATTTTAGTAACTTCTATCCCTTGAATTTTCAGTGACACAGGAAGAGATACAATTTAAACCAGAATCCCTCTGTAAGACACTGTTCTCAGAACATAAAGAACTGGAGGAATTCATGAAGACACAGATATGTCCTATCTCACAGGGGATTGTGATATTTTCTCGAAGCTGGGCTAGTGATATTGGCTTAAGGAAAGAGCAGAATGTCTTGTGTGATGCTCTCCTAATAGCGGTGAACAGCCCCCTGGTACTCTATACAATCTTGATGCACCCGAGTGGGCCCGAGGGGCCTGAGTATGCCCGAACCACTGCTCGTCAGTTAAAGCAGAAACTGGGAACTGTTGGTGGTTACACGGGGAAAGTGTGTGTCATTCCGAGACTACTGCACCTGCCGGACACACAGTCTAGACCCTGTGGAATCCCTGTCCACTACCCCCAATCCTACCAGCTTGCTGATGAGGAGGAAATGGAAGACTTGTTGCAGGCCCTTATCGTGGTGGTCTTGCTGTGCTCTCGATCCCTTCTGAGTGACCGGCTGGGCTGTGAATTTTTCAACTTGCTCATAGAGGAGCAGTGTGAGTTGCTTTCAGAGAGCCTTCAAGAGACGCGAGAATTGTTCATCCACTGCTTCCCAGGAACCAGGAAGACAGCCCTCGCCATAAAGATCATGGAGAAAATCAAGGACCTATTCCACTGCAAACCAAAAGAGATCCTCTATGTTTGCGAACATGACTCCTTAAAGGATTACGTGGCGTGAGTGTTTCACTGACTAAACACAGTAAATGTGTTGAGTCAGCCTTTTCAACAGTATCACCAAAGTAATTACTTAAGATTTTGCAATACCTTAACTAAGTAAGTGCAAGAGCCCAGACATTTGCAAGTGACCAGGTAGTTGAGCTATAAATGGGTACTTTGCTATTTCCAATCTTCAGTATTTCATCATAAGTCAGCCAAGTCTGCATACATTTAAGTTTATATAGCTAGGAACAGTTTCCCACAATCTGTGGTCTTAAATTTAAAGAAAAGTAGAAATGAACCTATCTTGCTTTAAAGAAACATTTTGCTTGCTGCTTAATATTGTAAAGTCACAGTATATTTCAGGTGATGAGACATTCTACCTACTAGAAACTTGAATTTAAACACCATTTGATTTTGCTTATAAAATATTTTCATTTGTTTGACTTGTTCTGAATCAATAATTTTAGAAGACATACAAATCTGCTTCTGATTTAAATCTTTAGCTTTTAATTTAGTAAAAGAAATTGGTTGCTTTATAATTCAGCAAATGAGGGCAAACTCATTTTCATTTTTGTCTGGTTTACTTATTTATTCAACAAATCTTTTTGAGCACCGTGTATATGCTAGGTATTGTGTACATTGAGTGTTAGTGGGGATAAAGATTTTGAAGACCTGGCCATAAAGCCCAAAAAGGGGGACAAAAAAATAAAATAAGCAATGTGAATATTGTAAAATTAGTATGATAGTAAAGATATGCTTATCTTAACTTGGGCTGAAGGTTGGTCAGCAAATACTCCCCAGTGAAGGAGATCCCTAAGAAGGGTACACTCTTAAGAAGTCAGTAGGCACCCTAACTGGTTTGGCTCAGTGGATAGAGCGTCTGCCTGCAGACTAAAGGGTCCCAGGTTCGATTCTGGTCAAGGGCATATACCTTGGTTGCGGGCACATCCCCAGTAGGAGGTAGCTGATCGATGTTTCTAACTCTCTATCTCTCATCCTTCATCTCTGTAAAAAAAAAGAGAAGAAGTTAGTAGGCAAAGTGAATAAAATGAGGGCTTTTTAGGCAAAGGGCAGAGTGTGTGCGAAGGCATGGAGATGCTTAGAGAATCAGAAGGGTAAGTCTGACTAGAGCAGTGTGGGGGTGGGGGTTATGGTTATGTAGTAGGTGATGAAATTGGAAAGGAGGCAGATGCCATATTGTGAAAGATTTGTAAATTGTGCTATGGGTTAAGTTCTTTATTATGCTTTATAGGTAAGTTTAAAAATGCTCCAGTCAAAGGCAAATTCAATTCAACAAGTATCTATGAACCCTAATGTGAGGGGGATACAGAGAGTGGCTAAGAATCAGTGCTTTTCTTCAAGATATCTACAAAGTCCAAACTGGAAGAGAAGAACATGAACAGTTGTGATTCAGGGCACAGGGAGTAAAGCCCCAGGGACTGCGTATGTAACATCAGGAAATCTATAGTCATGAGTGATACACCTGGATCCAAATTAGAGGAGGTAACAATCCAACTTGACTGTTTCTTGCCTCCTCTAAGGTGTTCCTCCTCCTCTGATATGCTACAACATACTGTAAAGGGAAACTGAACACGCGAAACAGGATTACAGCCCTGAAGATTTATTACCCTACTTGACATGTCATGGAACTCAGCAGCCTCTCCATGTTTTCCTTACCAAAATCGAATGAGGCTTCTGGTTTTGTACTACATCTAAAAGGGGTGGTGGGATTTGCTTTAGAGGAATTTGTATTTACCCATACCTCTTTTCCACATAAAAAAGTATGATATGCCTCTAGATAACTGTTCTCTAGCTCTAAAAAGGACAAAGTAAAGAGCTTGTCTTCAGGGATTGTCAAGCAGCAGAAATGGACTACTAATAGAAACAATAACGTTCCTACCTGGGTTTATTTCAAAAGTTTCACATGCATATTTAACTAGATAACCCTGAAGAGTAGGGTTTACAATGAAGTATTCTCTCTATCAGGTAACTTGTAAGTAGAGCAGTTTTGTAGTATTCCGTACACAACTGGATCAATGAATCGTCCTCCGGGTGAGAACTAGTCTCTAATTTCAATCCCGACAGTAATGAGTGCATGGTGTTCCCTGAAACCCAATTCTCTCTTTCATCCTTACAGCCAACAAACCACCTGCCAGGCTGTGACGCGGAAAACCTTCATGCAAGGGGAGTTCCTAAAGATTAAACACATAGTGATGGATGAGACGGAGAATTTCTGCAGTGTATATGGTGATTGGTACAAGAAGGCTAAGAGTATCACCCATCCAGAGGTGAGGGGAGCTGGAAGGAAAAACCTTCATCACGGGGTTCTCTGGCTTTTCCTGGACCCCTTCCAAGTCCATCATGCTGATGTCAACGGCCTCCCCCCTCCATCTGCTCAGTTTCCTCGGAAAACAATCACCAAAGGGATCCACTGTTCTCTGGAAATAGCAATGGTCATGAAACAAGAAATGAAGAAGATCAAAGAAAGTCCTCCGCCCAACATGTTTCTGGACACACTGGCACTGTTCAGGGAAGCCGCCTACGAGGAAGCAATGCGTGCCCAGGCTCTTCCTGGGGTGTGTGAAACAGAGACCAACCTGACAATAGAACAAATTGCAAAGTACGTGGCAGAAAGATGTCACAACCTGTTCCAATGTGGCTATCTGCCCAAAGATATAGCAATTCTGTGCAGGAGAGGGGAGGACAGAGGACGCTATGAGCTTGCACTGCTAAAAGCAATGGAATTATTTGAGACCCACAGAGCAACAGAAGTTGTGTTCAGCCAGGCCCCTGGTGTTTTGGGCAGTCACATCATTTTAGACAGCATTCAGCAGTTTTCAGGCCTAGAGAGGAATATTGTGTTTGGGCTTAGCCCAGAATGCAGTCCTTCAGAGGAAACTCATAGGCTCTCCTTTGCCTCAAGAGCCATTAAACACCTCTACCTGCTTTATGAAAAGAGAACAGCTTTCTGAAAATTATTTCAAACAGTACAGGAAGCCATAGGAGCAGAGTCCCTTCTCCCAGGCAGGTGGCAGGTACTCCTTTTAGCATATTACAAATGAGGAGCTCAAGGCACAATCAGTATGGCAGAGAGCCACAGAAACGTCTCTTGGGACTGATCCTGCCACTGCATTTTGCAGTGTCACTGTCCTTTTCCCAGTCTACTTCACCTCCTCAATGTACAATTACAACAGACTTATAATTGGTCCCCTGCCTCTGGTTTTACCTTGTCCAATCCAGCCTTCATCCTGTCAACCAGAGATGTTCTCCTCAAACAGAGAACTGATTTTTATGACATTCCCTGCTAGTGTATCTTCAGTGAGTCCCTGCAATGTTGAAACCAAGCCATTTTTCAAGGCTTTCCATGATATACCCTGACTTACTCGCTTAAAACAGTATTATGTCTCCATCTTCCAGTGTTTCTAATGCACCCAGCCTTGCTGACCTATTTTGGGGATGGAAGGTAGGGTGGCCTTCAGGCTACTTACTTTGACTGGGTCTCTCAGGGTAGTACCTTGGTTGGCACCTCATACTGGCTGTGGGTCCCAAGCTTCGTAGGGTCAGAACTTGATTTCCTCTTTGCACCAAGTTTGGATCAGTTTCTTGGGGATGGCTCTGTGTTAATCAAGCTCACAAAAGACCAAGGCATAACTGACAATTTACAATGAGGATTATAGTAATAAGTGGGCCAGATGCTCTTGCTAATCAGCACATGCAGTAGTAACATAGGAGGCCAAATTACATAAGCATAGCTTTACAGCAAGGGGAGCTGATAATATGATCAAATGTATGGCTTAAAGCTATGATAGACTATTGCAAACACATCTACAATAGGAATATTTCCATCACAAGGTCAGATTTACCAAAAAAAGCAAATTTAGAATGCTAAGAGTGACTAGTTGTTCCATATTCTTTGCCTTAAATGATTTTTTCTTTCTGAGTTTCTAAAGTAAACCATCAACCTTCCCCTCACTCCTCTCAACACATAACAGTACTTTACTCACATTCATTTTCTACCAGTTAATACTTTCATCTAGACTAGAAACTGCTTCTACCCTGCTGTTGGCCTGGGACATAGTCTGTCTATCAGGGGTCTTTGCACATCCCTAAACTCTTCCATTATGATTTGGTGTTAATTTTATAATTCAACTTTAAGAGTTCATGGGGAGCCTGGATGGCAATTCTACCACCTAGGTGCCTCTACATTCTTGGCTCCTGGCTGTGCCAGTGCCATTTTCTCAACCTTCAAACCCTTTTGTGCTCCCTCTATCTGTTGAAATTCTTACTTGCCAATCAAGTCCTTGTTCAAGTCCTTGTTCGGTTAAACTTGGTCTTTTCTTTCACAGCCTTTCTATGGCTTAAAAAAATGTGTTTAAAGGATAACACCCAACTCATTCTAAACTATACCAAAGAAGTAGTTGTTGGCATAGCAGAGTCTATGTAATACCTTCCTATCACGTCTTCTTGCCAATGTATGTGCAATATATTAGAAATAAAATCAGAGGTCCCTTTGTCTAGTCAGCTCCCAAAATAACTAAGCCAATAATTGCTCTTCAATGCAATTTTGTTTTTCTGTCTGTAAGGTTTTTTAAGTTGCTTTGGAATTATTCCTCTTTCTGGACTATTTTTAACTTCTAGAAAAGTTAGGACAACTTTATTAATGCTGGTGAGGCCTCGATGCAGGAGAAAGTATGGAAATATTCTTTTGGCCATAATTTCAGATAAAGCCCATCCCTTTCCACTAGGTAGGTGAGCAGGCAGGGCTTGCAAAGTGCTCTTAGCTGCCTTTCTGAACGGCTCAGACCACCAGATGGGCCACTGTGAATTGTCCTGTCCAGAGAACCTTTCTCTTACCTCCTTGCTGCACCAATTACTTGATGTTATTCCTTATATCTTTCCTTGGGGGCTTCAGGGTACTTTTAGGTGGGATAAAATGAAGTTCAGCAAGTAATTCGTTTTTGATGGTGCAAAAGATACCAGTGTGTTAACATTTGGATAATGGAAGAAGTGTGAATTCTCTAAAAATAATTTAAAGGATCAAAAGTGGAGGGGGATTGCGGGAGTGAAAAGAACAGGGAACTGCTATACAGTATTTTAATCATAAACCTCAGGACCATTTAACTTTTTAAACTATATGCATACATTATGTAATTTTTGATAAAATAATTTATTTTTAAAATAATTGTTTTAATTTGAGAGTCCTTATCAGTTCTTAGTGCACTCAAACAGCTCAGTCAGGTTTAAAGTAGAGGCCTAATCCAGTGATTCTCAACCCTGGATGCTCATTATGATGATCGGAGGAGCTTTAAAAATACCAGTGATCCAGCCAGACACCAGACCAATTAAATCAGAATGCCTGGACATGTCTTGGACATTGATATTTATTAAAAGTTGTCCAGATAATTCTAGTTTTTCACCAGGGTTTAGAACATGGGACCCATCTACTAGTCTGTTCTTTCTGTCCTCAAACTTCTCTTCCCATTAGATTGTGAGATCCTTGAGGGTAAGGATGGTCATTTACACATCTTTATTTCCCCAAAGCAACTACTGTAGTACCTCAAACATGGAAGGTGCTCATAATTATTTGTTGAATGGATTTGCTACTTTCAGAGGATCAGAATCTACTAGGGATAAAGTTTATATTTAATGAAATGAATACCTAATTTTGGAGACTTCAAAGAGGTCAATGTGGAGAATAATCAGCACTGCAATAATGAAGAATAAGAGGATAATGGAATTTAAGCTGTTTTTTTAGGCAACAGGCAAAGTTAAAGATCCATGTTGATGGGAGTTCATTAGGTTTGAGTTTGAGATTAGCAATTGGTGGGGACTAAGAATAATTGACTATCTTGCTTGTTCTTAGAATTCTAAATTTTTCTATAGACCTTTAATATAATGGATAAAACAGTTAGTTTGATGAACTAATTTGCCTGCTATAAGAAGTTCTAAAACTTACTTTTAAAAAGAAGGGTATACCTGGCCTGGTAGCTCAGTTGGTTAGAGTATCATCACAATAAACCAAGGTTGCATGTTCAATCCTTGGTCAGGGCCCAGACAAGATGTAATTAATGAATGCATAAAAAATGGAACAACAAATAGATGTTTCTCCCTTTCTCTTTCTCTCCCTTCCTCTCTCTAACATCAGTTATAATATAAATAAATAAAGTTAAAAAAATAAAAAGAAGAGTAGTATACTTCTATTGTGTTAAATTTGAGAAGTGGAGAAAGGCAAATAAAAAGTTCTTATTATCTTGTTACCCAGACACAGGTTTTTTTTTTCGTTTTTGCTTATTTCTATTCTTTGTTGATATGCAAAAATATTTTTACATAGTTATGATCAAGTTGTACAATCAACTTTATATCCTGTGCATCTGCTTTTTCATATAACCTTTTTGTTCTAGTTTGTACTATTGTTCCCAATACTTCTCCCTCTCCCTATACCTATACCCTTTATAGTTCCTAACATTAAAGCTGGTGTATATTTTCCCACCCCCTTGATGTGGGCTTGGCCGTGTCACTTTGTTTGGCCAATGAAATGTTAGTGCAGAGGCTTTACGCATTTCAGTATTACATCTGTTCTCCTGGGCTTCTGCTCCTGTGAAGACTATGCCTTGGGCAGCCCATCAGTCACTGAGGAATGAGAGATGTGAAGCAGTCTTGAACTCAGCTCACGACATGTAGCCAAGTTTGACTGATCCCAACTAGATAGCCAAATCCCAACTGATTTGCAATGTGTAAGTGATAGATAAGTGCTTATTATTGTATGACTGAGATTTCAAGTTTGTTTCTTTTGCAGCAGTAGCTGACTAATGCAGGCATTTCCTCATGTTGTAGCATTGTCTTAAAAATTATCATTTTAAATAGTTGCACAATATCTCAGCTAGATTACACAAAATTTCAATGATCATTCCTCTATTAATTTGGGTCACGTACCTGGGTTGCAGGCACATCCCCAGTAGGAGATGTGCAGGAGGCAGCTGATCGATGTTTCTCTCTCATCGATGTTTCTAGCTCTCTATCTCTCTCCCTTCCTCTCTGTAAAAAATCAATAAAATATATTAAAAAAAAAATTATCATTTTAAATAGTTGCACAATATCTCAGCTAGATTACACAAAATTTCAATGATCATTCCTCTATTAATTTGGGTCACTAGCAATTTTACACTATTAAAATTAAACCAGGCCCATATTCAGGCATACAACACAACCTTTTCTTCCTTTGGTATATTTATAAATCCCCAGAGATGATATTATTGGATCAAAGGGGTGGCCTAGATAAAAGATTCACCTTATTTATATTGGTTCTGATGGGACGCGCAAAGAAAAACCCTAATCACTGTACCTGACAACATACAGAGTTGTTGCCTTAAGAGAACAAAATGCTGACATCAGGACTACAAAGTTCTGAACCCATGTCTGCCTGACTCCAAAGTCCATTTTAGCCTCTATGCTTTTGTGCTTTCCTGTACATCAAAGTTACAGACAGGAGTCTCCATGACCTGCGATCTGATGTTGAAATCAAGATTGAGTATATTTATAATATTTGTGACATTAAGCAACATGGTTATTGTTAGTTTCTAAAATTTTTCTACAAAATCGATATAAGTAAAATGACTTACATCACAAAAATATTTCTAGAAAAGCGTATTCTACACTAAGAAACTTAATATACATTTCATTTCTAAGTCTATATAGGCTTACAGTTGTTCCGATGGAAAATAATACAGTAATTAATAAAAAATAATACAAGAATAAATTCTGTGCTTCTCATACTCACAACTGTAAACCTGCTTTTGCCCCACCCTGGATAATGACATCATGGAAAGCTTAGAAAATAGAGGACAAAAGAAAACTCACCCCCAGTATTACCACCATATCACACAGTTTGTCATTTTTGCTTATTCATTTCCAGCGTGGGTCCATTGACAGATATATTTTAGCAGAGCTGTAATCATTGTGTACATTTCATTTTTCATCCTGTTTGGGTTGATTTTTCTGGAAGCCATTCCGATTCTTCTATGTGAGACATTTTCCACACTGCAGCCTAGGATAGGGCAAGTCTCGGTGCAGAGGAGCCTCTCACATTCCATTTGATTTCTGGGCCCAGTCCACCTGAGTTTCTACCTACAGAGAGGAAGACGGTGACGGGCAGTAAAGGATCCAAAGCTCATCACCAAGCTCCATGAAATACGGGCGGCGGGGGTGGGGTGGTGGTGGTGGTGGTGGTGGAATGAAGCTGTTTTAGGGAACTCAGCAACAGAGCTCCACAATTAGGACAGAACCATTCTTCCTCCTGGCTTTGGTGGTTGTGCCATCCCTGCAAAATGGCAGCTGCCGGGAGCACAACTCGGGAGGACTGTAGAACAAACCTTCACTTGCACAATAAAAACCTAAACAGAGTTTTCCAGCTTTGCCCAGTAAAAATCACCTCGAGTGACTGTTAAACTTCCAGATCCCTGGGCCCCTCTCAGCTCTAGGACAGGTGCTTGAGACTAATTGGAGATTCTGTGGGAAATATTGTATTGAATGTTGAAATGAGTGGAAAAACTACTCAGAATCCTACCCAGGAATGACCAACTTCCATTCGACTGAGCCTTGGGGTACCCATGTACTTGTGTGGGTTTCAAGTCAGATGTGACAAGGTTCAAATATGGACTCAAGCACCCAAATGTGATTTGGGCAAATTAACTGGTCTTTCTTAAAAAAAAAAATCTATATCTATCTCTATGTGTGTGTATGTATTTTATTGATTTCAGAGAGGAAGGGAGAGGAAGAGAGAGAAACATCAATGATGAGAGTATCATTGATTGGCTGCCTCCTGCAAGCCCCCCCACTGGGGATCGAGCCTGGAACCCGGGCATGTGCCCTTGAGCAGGATTGAACCTGGGACTCTTCAGTTCACAAGCCGGCGCTCTATCCACTGAGCCAAACCAGCTAGGGCTGATCTTCCTTTTGTAAAATGGAAATAACATACCTCAGATGATTGTTGTGAAGATTAAGTGCTTTATTTCATGTGATTGGCACAAACCAAAGTGTCTACAACCAGTAGCTATTAAACTAAATTCTCAGTGCCTGGCAGATATAGTATTCTAGAGGCCCAGTGAACGAAATGTGTGCACTGGAGGTGTGGGGTGTGGGGTTCCTCAGCCAGGCCTGTGCCCTCTCGCAGTCTGGGACCCCTCAGGGGATATCCACCTGCCGGCTTTGGCCTGTGGGGAGCGGGCCTAAGCTGGCAGGCGGACATCCCTCTCACAGTCCAGGACCCCTCACTCCTTATCGCCCGCCTGCTTGCTGCTCTGTACCACTCAGCTCACTGCTCCTTAGTGCTGCCATGGAGGCTCCCGCCACTGCCACTGTACTCACCAGCCGTGAGTCCAGCTTCTGGCTGAGCGGCGCTTCCCCTGTGGGAGCACACTGACCATCAGGGGGCAGCTCCTGCATTGAGCATCTGCTCCCTGGTGGTCAGTTCATAGCAACCAGTCATTCTACTGTTTGGTCGATTTGCATATTAGGGTTTTATTATATAGGATAGGATATTGAATGTGAACTGTAAATGAAAAATGAAATTTAAAAAAGAACCAAATAAAATTTTAGATCTGAAAAATTTTATATATAAATTATATATATTTAATTCACCTGAGGATGTTTTTAAAATTGATTTTTAGAGAGAAAAACATCTATGTGACAGAGAAATACCAGTAGGCTGCCTCTGCACCTGCTGACCCACCGGGATCTAACCTAAACCTAAGTATGTGCCCTAACCTAGAATCCAACAGGAAATCCTCTGGTGTACAGGTTGAGACTCCAACCAATTGAGCCACCTGGCCAGGGCAGATCTGAAAAGTTTTTTTAAATGTACCTCCAGGCCCTAGTCGGTGTGGATCAGTAGTTAGAGTGTCCTCCCACGCACCAAAGTGTCATGGGTTCGATTCCAGGTGAGGGCACATACACAGGTTGTGGGTTCCATCCCTGTCAGATTGCTTGGGCAACTGACTGATGTTTCTCTTTCTCTTTCCCTCTCCCTTCCTCTCTCTCTAGAATCAATGAAAAAAACATATCCTTAGAGGAGGGCTTAAAAAGAAAATAAATGCTGGTTTGGTTCAATGGATAGTGTTTGTGCAGGCGGACTGAAGGGTACCAGGTTGGATTCCAATCAAGGGCACATACCTGGATTGCAGACTCAATCTGGGGCCCTGGTCAGAAATTCAGTGAAAGGCAACCAATTGATGTCTCTCACATTAATTTCCGTCTTCTGTCCTCCCTTCCACTCTCTCTGTAAAAAAAAAAAAAATCAATGGAAAAATGTCCTCAGTTGAGGATTAACCTAAACAAACAAATAAACAAACATTCATCCCCAGTGTGATTATTGAAGGAGTATATGAAGTATTTGTTGAATGAACAGGAAGGGATGGGACTTCGCTAACTGTTTTAGCAACTCTGCAAGCCAGAGGGTGTATTTTTTATTTTAATTTTTATTGATTATTTTAGAGAGAGGAAGGGAGCGAGAGAAACACCAGTGTGTTGTTCCACTTATTATGCACTCTTTGGTTGCTTCTTGTCTGGACCCTGACCAGGAATCCAACCTGCAACTTTGCTGTATCAAGAGGAGGTTCTAACCCACTGCTCTGCACACTGCCTGTCAGGGCCCCTCAACAAAACCCCTCTGGCATGCCCTGGCCCCTGCTATGTTTGGGATCCATTCTGTGAGGGCACCTACTTAGGTTTAGGGTTTGATCCCTGGTCGGGGCTGACTGCTGCTCAGGAAGTGACTGAGGACCGTTGAGGTCCGTGTGCTGTACATCATTGGGCACAGAGCTGGGGTTCCATTGCTGACAGGGCCGACTCCGATCCCCGCTACCCCCACTCCTCCATCCAGGACGACTTCAACTATGACAGCTGCATGGCCTCCACCAGCATACACATCCGCATGGATAGGTCACCCTTTCCGCGCTTCACTCAGCCCGGCTGCTGCACAGTTGCCCTGGGAGGCGGATTTACAGGGTCCCAGGGAGAGCACCCTCCATGCCGGACTCCCAGGAAGAGTGGGGTCCCGAGGGAAAGCACTTCGCTCCGCCTCCCCTCGGGGCTTCCGGCCTGAGCACCCAGCGTGCACACGGAGGCCTCCTAGCTGGGTACTGAGAAAACGAAACTGGAGCCCTTCCTCGAACCCTGTCATCTTCAGTGCAGAAAGGGACAGATGAAAACCTCAGCAGCCTTACTGGGGCATCTTTAAATGAAAAGATACCAGAGGTTATTTTTTTTCGGTGGAAAATAAGTTTATTGTGTAATCAATATTGTGTAATCATTGTGATTTATTGTATAATCATTGCGATTACACAATAACCTGCACTGAGTTATCTGCTGGGATGTTTGTACTTTAAGGCATGTGAACGCATTTTATTTTATTTGATGCAGCCTCACATCCCCCAGCCTCACGCACACGCAGCAGCCCGGTCGTTAGGCGTGAGGGCATTAGGACTATTTGCATATTACCCTTTTATTAGTATAGACGGTCAAAGACTCAGTGATTGGGAGATGTTACTTTATCAGCATTGTTACTTAACCTTTCTGAAGCGTAGTTTCTTCCTAGAGATAATCAGTGTATAGGATTTAGCACAACACTAAATCCTCTGTAAACATGGTTAAGACATCCTCTGGACCCTGCTGAGTTTTTCTCACTGGACACTTTTCAAGCATGATTTTTTAAGTGTTTTTATAAAATTGATTTTTAGAGAGAGAGGAAGGGAGAGGGAGAGAGAGAAACAGTGATTGGTTGTCTCCCACATGTACCCTAACCAGGGATCAAACCCACAACCCGGGAATGTGCCCCGACCAAGTGAGCCACACCAGCTCAAGTTTGATTTAAAAAAAAAAATGCTGTGTCTTCAGGGGGTAATTTGTAGATTGTAATACTTTTCTGCACTCAGATAATTACTCTGTTTGACACACGTAGGCAACATCATGAAGTGATAATGCTGGCCATATTGGAAACAAATTTGGTACAAACTGGATTTGTGTGGCAGTCTGTGATACTAGTAATTTCTGTGACAATTTCTGTGAACAGTGAACTTGGAGATTGTAATAATAGGAGGTAGTAAATGGGAGTACAGTAGTTCCTGGCTGACCATAGAATTACCTGGGATCTTAAAATAGATCCACTGTTAGATTCTGTATGTCTAGGGAGGAGCCCTAGAATCTGCATTTTTTTAAAAGTGTGCTGAAAGATTGGGAACTTGGTTGTCATGTATTTTTTCTTTTTGTTATGCAAGTGACTCACTTAAGTTTTGATTGCCGGGCATCCATTTCAAAGAGGATCTACTTCAAAGATGACAATCTTAAATAAACACATTACCTAGCTATGCGACAAGGTAAAGAGCCAAGCCACCTCCTCCTACTAAGACTCCTTTGTTTTAGAGATCTTGGTTGATTTCATAACTGATCATTTGGGCTGCTGTTTCTTTAAATTTTCTCCTGCTTTAACTTCCCATGCTAATGTTTTCAAATCCACCAATGAGGAGTGAGCCCGCGAAACTTTAAGCGCCATCTTCAACTTCAAATAGAAGCAGAACCCCAGGCCTTCTCTCTCTTTCTCTACCAGCCACCTCGCTGTGTAACCCGAAGTGTTCTGTGTGACTTCCAGGTCCTGTAAGTAAAAAACCTTTATGCTTTTCAGTTACCTGATGATTACTGCTGAAGGGCGTCTTGTAATAATAATAAGAACCACGTTGTTATTGACAGGATGAGACCGGCATAAAGCACTGGCTCACAACATCTCAAACTAAATTCCCTCTAGGACACAACACCTTTCCTCATAGTTAAAAATGATTACTAAAGCCATACTGTAATAATTCTTGAAATCTGTACGGATGGACACATGAAAGAAACCAAACAAGAGCTTTCTGCTGGATTTCCTATTGTTGATTTGGCGGCTAATGCTGTTGCTATTGTTCTAAGCTTCTTCTGTTTACCACATTGATTTGTAACTTCCCTCCACAGCCTACTTTTCTCCACGGGGGCTCAGATTTCAGAGCCAGCTCTTCCTTCTGAGGGTTACCATAGCCCTCAGTCCTGACCGGAACAGATCAGGACTCCAGGAGTTTTCTCTCTAACATCCCAACCCGAGGAATCTTCAAATTCCCAAGGTCAGTACAGACTGTCTGGAAAGACCCACCACGCCTTGCCAGTTCAACAGAAAGGATGGTCTCAAAAAGAGATTAAAAAAACACACAACTCTGCCCTGGCCAGTGTGCTCAGTGACTAGAGAATCACTCACCCCACCCCCACACTAAAGAGCTAGGGTTTGACTCCTGGTCAAGGGCACGTACCTGGGTTGCAGGTTTGATCCCCAGGCCCCCGTTGGGGGCAACCAGTGGATGTGTCTCTCTCACATCAGTGTTTCCCTCCTTCCTTTCCTCCCTTTCACTCTCTCTCTGAAAATCAATGGAAGAAATATCCTCAGGTGAGGATTAACAACAACAAAAAACCCTCTAAGATGAAAATCCACCCTGTGACCCTTCCCGATATATCTTGCCTGTATATTTAGGCAAGAGAGGCTGAGGTGGACACAAACAGCCACACATTTCATAAATGAATGAAATAGACAGTGAGAACTGGTCTGTAGATGGGACTCACCTTCTTGCTCAGGCCAGCAATGCAGGATTCCAGTCCAGAAAACCTGAAAGAGTTCTGAGACAGACTGTGGTGTAAGGGGGTTATATAGGGTAAGCCAATCAAAGATCTGGCAGGGACAACGACGACGACTTTCAAATGGGAAAGGGAGGAGCTAGAGCTTTGGCGGGAGTGGGTGACTGTTCAAATTATTTGTCAGGTTTTTTTTTTTTTTCCATAGTATACACACTTTAATTTTCAGGAGAAACTTAAGCTATACTGATTGGGAAGCTCTGACCCATTTGGATGTTCCAGGTTATTTTTGCAAGTGTCAAAAGTACATGTGGGTATTTTGTTTGCCAACTTTAATCAAAAGCACTGGAAAGTGCTTTTAAACAAGTTGCTTCTTCAAATCTTTTTGGTGATGGGGCACGCATGAATATATCTAACTATGAATACTTCAGGTGGCTAGTTGAGAAATAGTTGGCATTCTAGAATAGGAAAACAATAATCTGTAACAACAGATGTTTATTTTACTAGACACAGCAACACCTACATATATTCTCTAGACATCAATTAGCACAGCCACTATTGTAACAAATGTTTTCATGACTTCAGCCATAAATGTAAGATGATTATTTAGACCCAAATTAAATAAACTATTTCCATATGTGTGTGAACAAATTACTGGAGACAATAATTAGGCATTGAGGTGGGGGAAATAAATCCGAGGAGCTCATTTAATCCTGGTTTTAATTCTGAGCAGGTCATAACTTCTCTTCGTCTGTGTGAAATACTCACAACATATGCTTGGGGCGGACGGAGCCAGGATGTAGGATGCGTCTGTTGTTTCTTTGAGGGTCGTAATCTTCTGAGTCCCGGGGGAGCCTAACCTACAGGCAGAGGCTCCCCACACACCAAACCACCCCTTAGGCCGCATTTCCAAAGTAGCTCCCACTCTCAGACACACACCAGCTCTGGCCCCCGAACCCCAAACTGTGGTCCCCACGCTGCCCTGCAGGAGCCTCGCTGGCCAGGGCTCGCGGGAGCGTCGCTGAGGTTGGACACCGGGGGAAGCTACTCGTTTGGTGGTGGGGGAGCCACAGCAAAGCTGCAGCACTGGGGGCAGGAGGCGCAGGGCGCAAGTGAGGAGCGTGCATAAACAGGGTGAAAGGCTGAAGCGGGCGGGAGACGCAGGGCGCAGGCGCAAGTCAGCAGCGCGCAAGGGAGGGGGTGGAAGGCGGAAGCGTGCGAGGTGGGAGGCGGGAAGGAGGAGGGAGGAAGTGTGTGCGCGCGCGCGCGCGCATATATGTGTGTGTGTGTGTGTGTGTGTGTGTGTGTGTGTGTGTGTGTGTGTGTGTGTACTGATGTCGCAGCAAGGCTTTCTTAAGTTAAAACATGTTCATGTTACTATTTTTTTTTACACTATTACATATGTCCCCCATTCCTGTTACTTTTTTTAAATGCTTCTCTAGAATAATTTGTAAATCGTATCAAACTTATTTTTAATGTATTGAGATAATTTTGACTTTCTATTAATTGCTCATGTCATATTTTATATTCATGGTTTTTCTTGTATGTAAAACAATTTATTCTGTGATAAATCCAATTTGAGTTGGTGCGGTGTGTGTCTGTGTGTTTAATAACAGCAATAATAAGAAACGTAAGTAAGTACAAAGATAATATAACACTTCTTTTGTTCCCTTAATTTTTGTTACCCCATTAACGTTTTGTCAGTTACTTCAAGTCCTTTTCAAATTCAGTAAATAAAACATTGTAGATAAATTTGAAGTTCTCCTTGCTTTTCATCTCCAGTTCCATTTTTCTTTCCTTTTCTCAGAGACAACCAATATTCTGAGTTTATTGTATAGCTTTACAGTCGTTTTAGCTTACACTCGGTTTTACATACACGTATCCAGGAATAATATGTACCTTGGGTGTATGTGCTTGGCATAAATATACTTGGCATATTTATAAAAGATAAAATCTATATGTATACTTCTGCATCTTGAATTTTTAATTCTACATTTTGTTTCTGATAGCTGCCACTTGTGTGTCTGTTAGTTTATTCCCTTACAATGGTTTATAATATCCTGTTTAATACATATTACCACATGTTATTTCCTCACTCCTTTATAGATGGACAGTTAGGCTATTTCCAAAATTTAGTGTTACAAACAGTACTAAAATGACTGTGCTTGTTCTCCTTGTACACATTATTTACCTGTTCATCTGTTAAACAACATCTTGGTTGCTTCCGAGTTTTGGCAATTAGGAGTAAAGCTACTAGAAACATTCATGTGCAGGTTTTTGTGTGAACATAAATATTCAACTAATTTGGGTAAAAACCAAGGGGCACAATTATGGGATCATATGGTAATAATATGTTTAATTTTGTAAGAAACTCTAAATTGTCTTTTAAAGTGGCTGTACCATTTTTCATGTTGTTGGGTCTTGTTTTTATTTTAACCATTTTAATAGGTATGTTGTGGTATCTCATTGTTGTGTTAATTAGCAAATTCCTGATGATATATGCTGTGGTGAATCTTTTCATATACTTATTTGCCATCTCTGTATCTTTTTTGTAAGATGTCTGTCCAGATGATTTGCCCATTTTAAATATTGGGTTGTTTTATTGTTGAGTTTCAAGAGTTTTTTGTATATTTTAGATACCAATACTTTATCAGATATGTACTTTACAAAAATTTTCTCTTCATTCTCTTAACAGTCTTTTGCAGAAGTTATTGATTTTGATGAAGTCCAACATATCAATTTTTTTCATGGGTCATGCTTTTGGTGTTGTATCTAAAAAAAATGTCATTAGCAAACCCAAGGTCACCCAGATAATCTGCTGTTATTTTCTACAAGTTTTATAATTTTGCATTTTACATTGGGTTTATTATCAATTTTTTAAAAAATATATTTTATTGATTTTTTACAGAGAGGAAGGGAGAGGGATAGAGAGCCAGAAACATCAATGAGCGAGAAGCATCAATCAGCTGCCTCCTGCACGACCCCTACTGGGGATGTGCCTGCAGCAAAGGTACATGCCCTTGACCGGAATCGAACCTGGGACCCTTGAGTCTGCAGGCCGACGCTCTATCCACTGAGCCAAACCGGTTAGGGCTATTATCAATTTTGAGTTAATTTTTATGAAAGGTATGTCTTTTTCTAGATTCATATTTCTGCATGTGGAAATCCAGTTTTTTCAGCACCCTTATTTGTTGAACTGCCTTTGCCCCTTTGTCAAAGATCAGTTGACTGATCTGTGTGGGTCTGTTTTTCATCAACAGCACACTGTCTTGGAGTATTATAATAGACTAGAGGCCCGGTGCACAAAAATTTGTGCACTGGGGGAGGGGGGATCTCTCAGCCCGGCCTGTGCCCTCTCACAGTCTGGGACCCCTCAGGGGATGACCACTTGCTGGCTTAGGCCTGTTCCCCAGGGGATTGGGCCTAAGATGGCAATCAGACATCCCTCTGGCAGCCCGGCAGCCTTGGGGGATGTCCACTTGCCAGCAGGGAGCAGGCCTAAAATGCAGTTGGACATGCTGAGGAGGCAGGTGAGGCTCCCACCACCACCGCTGTACTGGCAGCCATCACCCTGGCTTGTGGCTGAGCAGAGCTCCTCCCATGTGAGAGCGCCCTGACCACCAGAAGGCAGCTCCTGCATTGAGCATCTGCCCCCTGTTGGTCAGTGTGTGTCATAGTGACCAGTCATTCCCAGTCCTTCTGCTGTTAGGGTCAGTTTGCATATTACCCTTTTACTATATAGGATAGAGGCCTGGTGCACGGGTTGGGGCCGGCTGGTTTGCCCTGAAGGGTGTCCTGGATCAGGGTGGGGGTCCCACTTGGGTGCCTGGCCAGCCTGGATGAGGGGATGATGGCTGTTTGCAGCTGGTCTCACCCCCTTCAGGGTGGGGGTCCTTACTGGGGTGCCTGGCCAGTCTGGGTTAGGGGCCGAGGGCTGTTTTCAGGCTGGCGGGTGACTGAAGCTCCCAACCTCTCCTTTTTTTCTTTTTTTTTTTTTATTCTGGGGTTTATTTACCTTCTATAGCTGTCACTGGAGCTGAGAGCCAGCTTTAGCTCTGAGGCTCGGCTCCAGCTCTGAGACCTCGGCTGCTGAAAGCAGGTATCTGGGATTTGTTTAGCTTCTATAATTGAAACACTGTTGCGGTCCTGCTGGCTGAGGCCTGGCTGGCTGAAAGCAGCTATCTGGGGTTTGTTTAGCTTCTATAATTGCAACATAGTTGCTTAGAGTGCAGCTCAGAGGCTGGCAGCGGCAAGCGGGGAACCTTGGCTTCCTCCATCACTGGAGAAAGCAAGCCTCCTGTTCGCTTCAGCTGCCTGGCTGCCGGCCGCCATCTTGGTTGGCAGTTAATTTGCATATCACCCTGATTAGCCAATGGGAAGTGTCAGGGTATGGTCAATTTGCATGTTTCTCTTTTATTAGATAGGATGATTACTATAGTTAGTCTTCAAGTTGGTATTATCAGTCTTCTGACTTGGTTCTTCTCTTTCAATATTGTGTTGG